AAGAGATAGAGGTTTTCTGGTTTTTTATCCATAGTTCTAATATTCATTATCTTCTCTTTTTAAGTTTTTTGGGGGCAATAGGGTGTGTGATTTCACCAGAGAGGGACAGAGAGAGGTACAAAGAGGTGTTGTATTATTTGTTGATAATATTTTGTAGTTTTATCAACTATACTAGGGAGAGATGTTCACCTGTTGAAATATCCACTTTGTAAGACTAATAATAATGTGATAAAATGTATAAAAGAAAATGCAACAAAATTAATTAATTAATTAATTAATTAAAAATGTCACACAAAAAATAATAGAAAAGCATAAAAAATAAAGAGGAAAAGTAAGAAACCACCCCCAACCCCAGGTGGGATGGCCATAACACAATCCTTTCTTCTCCATTTTCCTCCTGGAATCCTGGGCAGGCATGCACACATACGTGACATGATTTTCAAGCCACTAGGTCCAGGACTCCACCTGCCAGTCTTATGGAAGTCCAGCACTTTAACAATCACACCACCTGCTGGACCCCCAATATTCATTATCTTTTGTTTGTTTATTTTTACAATATTCCAAAGGATTTCTGTGCTTGCTAGAGAAATAGAGAGTCAAATGGAGAGAGGAATAGTAACACACACCCCCGCCATGAAGCATGATTAGGTCACAATCACTTCTCTTCCATTTCTCCATCCTGTCAAGATTTTAAGCAGTACATATGTACATACATGGCATGTTTTCCAAGCAGTCAGAGCCAGGATTTGAACCATTGTTGTCCATGTGGGATCTGACTCCCTTAACCATTAGGTTACAGGGTTGACCTCAATATTCATCACTGAAGATATAAAACTATGATAATCGTCACCTAGACCTGACCATAAAACAATAAATTAAATTTTGAAAAGTCATTCTCTTATCTGTGGAAAATGTCAAAAGAACTAGAGATTCTGTACCATATTTTTTATTTAAGAGTGATTTTTTTTTATAAGCCACACCCCACACGGGTTCTTACTTTACCTCTTACTAACTCTCTCTGTCTCTCTGGTGAAAGCATACACCCTATTGTCAAAAAAAAAAAAAAGTAAAGAAAAGAAAAAAGAGAAGATAATGAATATTTAAACTAAGGTATATAGTTGGGTAGTAAGTTGGGGTAAACACAAGCATTTATTCAATAGTTTGTGCTGGCCAGAGAAACAGAGACAGAGAGAAAGAAAGTGAGAAATAACTTCCCAGGGGGATGGCCATATCTCAATCCCTTCTCCTCCATTCTACTCTTGAAATTGGGCATGTACTCTAATGTGCCCAGCATGTTTCAAGCATCCTGATCCAGGATTCAAACCATGGTCCACCATGTGGGAGTTCAATGGTGTAATCATTCCACCATCTGCTGGTTATGTAAAGCAGTTTTTGCTATTATTAGGAAAATGACACATTCCTTATTGGTGGCTCAGGTTCAGGTTTGATATTTTATGTTAAGAAAGAGACTACTTCTTTTGTTTAACTTATTTGTATTTTTTCTTTTTGTTACATAACTGTAACAGTTAATATTTATGGCCAGACACTACACTGAGTTTTTTTCACCTGTTAACTCAATGAGTCTTTACAAGTTGGAGTCAATGTAGTCTCACTACAAGGTTGAGTTTCTCCTCACTCCTCAATCAATAAACACGTTCCATTTTACTTTTTCTTTTTTTAAAATTACAAAGGGTGTACTGACCAAAGAGACAGAGACAGAGAGAGAGAGAGAGAGAGAGAGAAACCATCCCCCAATGAGGCACAGTGCTTTTCCACCATCTCTCTATCAAGAATTTGGGCGCACACACACATATGCTGGCCATGTTTTTCAAATCACTAAGACTGGGATTCAAACCATGGTCAGTCTTGTGGAATCCAGTTCTCAATATATATATTGTTATCAATGTGCTATAGGGCTGGCTCAATTCATTCTTTCTTTACTTTTTTTTTTCTAAAGTTTTGAAAGAAGTGCGTTTATGATAAAGTGCATGCACATGAGTAGGAATGAGAGGGGGGGAAAGACAGGCACCCTTGACAGATCTTGTCAGACCACAAACCCTTTCCCTGGCCCTCCAGCCATCAGGATCTTGGGCACCTGTGCAAGTGGACAACGTGTTCCAGGTCAACCAAGGATCTGAATCTGTGGTTGGCCATGTGGTTTCTAATACTGCAGAACACTATGTTGCTGCCTATATTGGCCCACTGAGGCTGGATCAATAAATCATTCTAATTTCAAAAAGTCCAAATGTATCCAAACTATGCCATGGGCTGTGTGCTGAAGAAAAACTTTGTTGGTTGAATGAATTAGTCCACCTAATGAAAGGGCTTAGGAAAGACAAGGTGTTCTAGGACCTGTTGACATTAAATCTAGAGGAATAGGGCATTCAGAATCCAGGTAACTTCAGAAGTGAAAACAACACAACTGCTCTGTGAGAATTCTTGTAGGCAACATCTAGAAGATCTTACATTATTTATGAGGGGACTTCATAATGTTTGTGGAAAAGTGATATTAAAGTATGAGTTTCAGTACCAAAAAATTGAAAATCTGTTCATATTGTACCACAAGATGCATTTCCATGAACCTTTGGAAGACCTCTCACGTGTGGCACTTGATCTGGGAATTTGTGTTTCTGAGCTCATTCTTTTATTCACTGCTTTGTTCATTTAGGAACAACCAAATAATAGCATTATATTCCCCAGTTTTCCAAAAATATTTGAAAGCATCGTAAACGGAGTCAACTGCTCATTGTTTCTTGTAAGTGGCTTATTAAAAGTATCGAATGCAGACATTTTGCCAGACAGTGGCATAATGATAAAATGTGATACTCTGCAAGGCAATCCACATGGACAAGTGGATAGGCATACACTTTCCCATAATCTACGGCTGGCTAGTACTGGGGGTGAATCATGGCATTGGGACCCAGTTGTGAGTGCATGCTCTCTCTTTCTCACTAAATAAATAATTTTATTTATTAATTTTTTTCATTTGCTATAGGGTGTGTATACACAACAGGAATAGGGAGGACTCCCCTCCTTTCACTGCCCTGGGCAATAGTCACACCACAATCCCTTCTCTATTTTCCTCTTGGGATTTTGGGCACTCATGCGCATGTACCTGGTGTGATTTTTCAAGCCACCAGGTCTAGGACTCAAACCACAAAGTGAGCCATGTGGGATCCAGCCACCTGTGCACCACCTGCTGGTGCCCCATAATATAGTTTAAAAAGGCTAGTTTAAAAAACTTCCTAATGCAAATATTTTTGTGAATCTCTGTAAACACTTTATGTCATGGGCTCTCAGAGCTTTCTTTCTCTTTTTCATTACCAGAGGGTGCATACACTCACCAGAGAGAGAGAATTTATATATATAAATGTATTATATATGTACTTTATATGGCCTTTATTTTGTTGAAGTATTTCCTCTTTCCCCTAGTTTATTGAGAGTTTTTATTATGGAAGAATGTTGATTTTTGTCAAATACTTTTCCAGTTTATACTGAAATAATCATGTGATTTTTTTGTTGTATTCTGTTAGTGTTGTAAATTCTGTTCATTGATTTTTTTTTTTTATGTTGAGCAGTTCTTATATCCAAGCTTAAATACCACTTGTTCATGGTGTATAACCCTTTCAATTTTTTGGATTTAGTTTGCTAGTATTCTGTTGAAGAGGTTTCCATCTATGTTAATCAGTGTTACTGGCCTGTAGTTTTCTTTTCCTGTGATATCATTTTAAGAATACATAGAAAGGCCAGCAGGAAGAGATACAGAAGCTCTTTTTCCCAAAAGAAATTCTCTGAAAATGAGATATTATTAGGAATTACTATTTTTTTTTTGAAGAGGTTTTTGCTATAGGGTATGTGCATTTGCCAGAAAGACAAAGACAGACAAAGAAACAGAAAGGGAGAGATCACCCCCCAGGGGGGATGGCCATACTGCTATCCCTTCTTCTCCATTCTCCTCCCAGGATCTTGGACACGCATGCACACACACCCTGCGTGAGTTTAACATATCAGGTCCGGGACTCGAACTGCAGTTAACTACCTGGGAGTCCAGTGACATAGCCATTATGCCAACTGCTGGTGCTCTTAGGAATGTTTTAAGGTACATATGTGATGAAGATGGTGGTGATGGAAGGGGTCAAGGGAGAAGATAAGACTTGCTCACATATTACCAATGTGCACCTGTCAGGCAAACAGAGGAGGGCCAGTGGGATTCTTCCTATGCGCCTTTTCTCCCATAGCAAAAGTCTAGTCCACCAGCTTTTTATGCCCCCCCCCCAATTCTATCCTCCTGATGTTAGAACCTTCTTGTAGCTCTGTTCTAACACAAAGAACAGATATGATAACAAAGCTCCAGCTCAGCCGTGGTGGCTTAGATAGTAGGATGGCACTGTGTGATACTGAACGTATTGAAAAACCTGGGTTCAAATCTTGGATTGCTCTTGGGAACCAGCAGTTAGCGTAATGGCTATGTCGCTGGACCCCCACGTAGTCGAACCGGGCGTCCCGGACCCGGTGGCTTAAAACTCACGCCGGGCGCGTGTGCGAGCGTGCCCAAGATCCCGAGAGGAGAATGGAGGAGAAGGGATTGCGGCGTGACCATCCCACCTGGGGGGTGATTTCTCGCTTTCTGTCTCTATGTCTCTCTCTGTCTGTCTGGCGAGCGCAAAAAACCTCTTCAAAAAAAAAAAATCTTGGATTGCTCTGAACACGAGCACACGCATGATTCCTGGCTGGCTAGAAGGCTGGAGGGAGGATCCCAGCATGGCATGATTCCATCAGGGCTATCTCGCTCTCTTCAAGAAACTTAGAATAAGACAAAACAAAACAAAAAATTCAATGCTCAGAAACAATTGAGCTCGCTGAGGCTGAGACTCCAGGAATTATTTCCAGAGACAGCTAAACAATCATCTGGAGGAAAGAGCAGATTTCCAGTAGGGCGCTAATCTGTGTACTACTCCTTGGAGGGAAGGTCATATATGTAACAGAGATGAAGACCTCCAGCCTTGGTGAGGAGTCAGGGCTAGAATCCAGGCTTTGTGATCTGCCACAGCCTGTGTGGGCAGGACCAGTGAAGCTCACCAGGTACAAATAGTCTTGGAACCCAGTGGCACTGCAGGCTCCTGTGGTCGAGTCTAAACCGCTCGTTGTTTGCTAAAGCTGAATGCAAAATTAACCACCATGAGGCTGTGGGTGTCTCTCCTGCTGGTCACTCTGGCCTTTTGCTGCTACCAGGGTGAGTATTATTTATCACCAGCCCAACACCAGAGAAACCTATTTGCATGGTGTAGGGTCAGAACAGGTGAAAATTTAAGACTTTTCCTGTGTTTATATATATATATATATAATACATACATACATATATACATATATGTGTATATATGTGTGTGTGTCTCTCTTTGGGGAACTGTTGGTGGAACTTCACTCCTTGGCTGTGACCTGTATTTCAGCTGAAGCAGGATGTAATGGGAGTTACTGGCTGTGAACCTGCGATCTGCCAATTACCAGTCCTTTGCTTAAACAAAAATCCTTACACTTGCCAAGCCTACTCTTATCATTGGTGCTTACTATTACCACCAAGAGTGCTATGAGAGTGGAGCAAGATTTTGTATGTCCTCACTTGAGCTCCAGGTATCAGCAAATGTCTAATAATTAGAAATTCTCCTCCCCAGAGTCTCCAGTGTGAATTGAGCTCAAGGCTTTTTAAGTTCAGTCTCATAAAATGATATAACTAGAAGGGTCTTTGGAGAGCTTTCAGGTCAGAATGAGCCAGTGCTCTCAGAATCTCTTAAGAAACAAGCACCTGGGCTCTGAGAATAAGCAGCGCTCAAGGTATCCACCAGTGCTCTCCATACCAGTTTTCTAGGAGTAGTTCTGGAAATCGTAGCAGAACTCCTAAAATGATTACCACCACGGTATCTGTTTTTCTAGAATTAATTCTACTCATTCTTTAACAATATTTTACATGTTTCACAACCATCCTTGGGACTGATCTGACCTCTGTGAGATCTTTTAACTCATACCTCATACTTCTGAACCTTCTCTTTCTGTGAATTGCTTGAATCTCTCTCTCCAAATTCTCCTCATAGTTTGATGTCAACTGCTCAGGGGTCACATTGGGACCTGGAAGGGCACTTCTGAGGTACAGATTGGTTATGAAAGACTTGGGGGAGTGGGAAATCCAGACCAGAGAAAGTGATAGGAATCCAGGTCGCACCAAACTTGCCAGCAGTGGCAGGAACGAGCCCTGGTTCCCGCTTTTGGACCTTTCTGGGGATGCTGAAAATTACTGCAGAGCAAGAGCCAATCCCAATTTCCCACAGTTCCTCAAAAGCTCCTAATTTTGGTTAAAACTAATGTGCTTTTTACTGTACTTTTGAGCTCTATCTGCTTCCATGCATAGCCCCAGTTTCTCCGACTTGGATTCAAAATATAGTCTTTCAACATTTTTTTTTTTAACCATTTTGTTTGCTCTTCTCCAGATTTACTCTCATTTTTTTGATCTCTGGTAAGATTCTGACACTACCATTCACATTGAAAGTTAAAAACCCAAACCTCCTCTTCATCAGTATCTGTGTTGAATAAAATGTTACTTTGTTATCTGTTATCTATTAATAGGTAATTATTTAAAATCCAAGAAAAGCAAAATTCTGTAAATCAGAGTTTTAGAGAGTAGAGCTGTGAGCTTTTGCAAAAAGCAGAAACTGAATGAGTGTCAAGAGAACAGTTTTCCAGACCTAGCTCTGCCCTTGGCTTTGTGATCTTGCAGAAGTCTCGACCTTGAGAGTCTTACATCGTCATTAGCACAAATATGCAATGGGAGCATAAAACCTTGGTGGTACTGACTAGTGGAACATCAGGGAGCCATGGGGGAAATGACTTTTATTACCTAAATTGTTTTTTTACTTTTATGTTCCAGCCAATGCAATGGTCTGTCCAGCTGTTGTTATTGATACAGAAAACATCTTAACCATGCCTATGGGGATGTATGAGAAGAGACTTAAAGCGTTTAATGCACCAGCAGATGCTGTTCAGGCAAAGTTGCAAGTGAAGCAATGCATTGATCAGATGCCCAGAGAAGACATACGTAAAATTAAACACATACTGGTAATTTCTCTCTCCTTTATGCATACAGGCTTCTTATCCGCTCCACAGCCAGGAGTGAGGTTAGCTGTCTGTTCCATGGGGTCTCACGTAGGGTTCCTGCCTTGCTGCTCACCTTTAATCAGGTGACTCAGACCACAGGGTAGAATATATCAGGACAGCGGCTAAATTGAACTCGCCTGCTCACAGCTTCCTGGGCATGTTCCTCCTCTCTGGTCACCCCCTCTGGATACCAGGTTTCTCAGTGTCCTTCATGGAAGGATAGCTGGGGCCCCATGAAAGGAGGTTGGAGGACCAAGCCCTGCTGCTTTGTGTTACCTGGGATTTGCTGAAGATGAGGTCCACTTATTCAGTGGGCACAAGCCCTAAGGAATCTTATGGGAGTCTTGGGGCTATTGAACAGGGAGACAGAGGGAGAAGACTGGAGCTGGCCTCTGTCAGGTGCAGCTCTGTTAGCTGGGGGGTGTGTGTGGGGGGTGTCTCTGGCAGCCTCTGCAGAGCCAGGAGACCACTCCCAGCTCCTTATACCTCATGTTATCTTCCTGTGACATGACTTCATAACCATCGCCAAAGCGTAGCCCTGTGCTGCATTATATCCTACATTGAAATACCTGAAATACCTACATTTTGTCTTTATCAGGAAACCAAATGTTTAACAGGGCCTCTTGGCTTGTCTCTTTCTGGGTTTATGTCCTGAAATTTAGTTGCAGATGGCCAAAAAAGCTATAATTTCATTGTTAAAAAGGACCCGGGCCAGAGGCAGAATTCCCACCTGGTGTTTGGGTGTTTCCTGAAAGTTGAGTCTCACAGTCCCATCCCAGTCCTATCTCCCGTCTTTTAGTCCTGGATCTCCCATGGGGGTAATAGTGGATGAAATTCATTTTCCCCAAACCTCGTAGAATGTAACTTCTAACTACTCTGTCCTGCTTCTCACTCTCTCCTTTCCATTAGAAATCTGAGCCACATTCTTGGGCCACTTCAAGATTTGTTTTCCTGACTTTGGAAAGGCTGTTCCCTATCATTCATGGCATGCACCATGACTGACTCCAATTTTCCTTTATTTTTTATTACAGGTGGAAATGCTTCCTAAGTGTCTCTAGTTACAAAAGATATTATATTCTGTTTCCACTATCCTCCAATGATACCTGATTTCCAATGCAATATGTAAAGGTTATGCTTCCTAAGTGTCTCTAATTGCAAGATATTATATTCTGTTTCCACTGTCCTCCAATGATACCTAATTTCCAATGCAAAATGTAAAGGTTTCAACGTCTTGCTTTAATAAATTACTTGCCCTGCACTTCTCCATGTGTCTTGTTTGCATCTAAGTCTCAGTGCTCGAGTTAAGGGCAGTTTTAATACTAAAGTGCATTTTGATATTCTCACAGTAACTTCCAGAGACTAAATAGCCTCTGTTACTGGTGGCCAAAGTGTCTGGGATCCCAAAAAGATATGTATTTAGGAGACCCCCAGACTCATTGGCTGGCTTGTCGTGTGGTCCACACCTCACAGCAGCACTACTGTGATGTCCTCATGGAACCACAGTTGACCTGCTCTGTCCTTAGATCTTCACTGTTTTGACTCCCATGTCATGTCCAGGACACCTGATTTTCCACCTACTTCTGAATTCTTGGTGCATCTCCAGGATTCAACCTTTGATTAAC